TTGGAGAACACAGATTTTTAAATTATCACAGAATCTATAATAGCAAGGTCATTTTAACGCGGCAAATGGTTACTAGTAATGTCTCCTTTAAACTTGGGAAGAAAGGAGGGACGAGAATTAACAAAATAAGGGGTTGATTAAATGTGCGCATGCGATTTCCAGGGCAGTTGGACATTGGCTACATGGTCTAACCGCTTACACAGGTCGGGTTTCTCCCGCCGTATATAGGCTGCTTCCATGTAACGCAAGGTCCGGTTTGTTCGTGCTCAAACAAGAACTTGGAAAGGTGTATTGATGTCAGCGGAGTGACCATTGTCTAGAAGGTTTTCTGTAATGGATGAACGTGGCACTTTGTTTTCTTGTTCTAAAAGCCAAGCAGACAAATGTTCAGCAGCCCTGGTTGCCAATTGCCTTTGCGTACAGCCGATGTACTTGTATTCGCAAGTGCACGTAGGTTCATAGACGCATTTTGGGCTGGCGTGCAAAGTCAAGGCCTTCTTTGAGCGGTTAACTGGAAGGCGTTTAGTTGAAGTGAGGAACACAAGTTCAGCTGCATAGTACGTTCTTTGTATCGAACACCGTAGTCGACGCTTACTTGTATTCGCGATCTTGTCTCCCTTAAAGAGTAACGATATAGAAACGTGCCTTTTCGGAACCGACTGGTCCGTAGATTTTGACCGTAAAGGGCTGTTTTAAATAATTTCCTCGCAACTAATCAATAATAATAATGGATGAATGCCAGTTATTGCGTATCCAACGCAGCTCACTATGTATTTTTATTTTCTATTAGCTTTAGGTCTGACATGAACCTGTTTGCCAGAACTGGTCAGAAAAATGCTGTCCAAGAACACTGCCCCTTCCCGTTGCTTTAAGTTAGTTCAAGTTTCCACAATTTTCTTGCCAAGAATATGTTTCAAAGGCGTGCTCAAAAATAACCTTCCTGGTTTCTTCGAAGGCGGCTGTCTCGACAACACGAAAGTTTCTCAAATTCAAAGTCCAAGAAGGCAGAGTAGGTTGGATCAGCTTTTACTGTGAGAAAATAAACTGTACAAAAAAATCTTTCCCGCACTAGTTGTCACCTGTGTCCTCAGACTGGTTGTTTCCGTGGGTGTGTGCTGATGTGTGCACCTGCATCTACACCCCCCCTCCATTTGTATGTTAGGAAAGGAAGGCAGACGGAGTAACAGATAATAGTTTACTGCCACTGTTTCCGCCTGTAAATCAGCTCCGTCTTCTGTGTGTCCCGCAGCTTGTCCTCCTGTGCAGCTCGGCCTTGTCTGCACCTCGTCCTGTGTCCGTCAACAGCGTGTCTTCTGCCGTCGGTC